CCCAACCATGAGCGAAGGGCATAAAAAAAAAGCGCAGGAGCCAACAAGTGCGCACAATGGTGCATTCTCACCACCTAAGTTGGGCGCCCAGGGAATCGAACCCTGGACCACTCCCAGATTATTCAGAAGGCTGAATTATGCTAAGGGAGTATTATACCACTAAACCATTCGCCCGATGAATGTATGACTGATTGTGACAGAGTCGAGCGGAAGCTGGATCATGAGGGCGCACTGTTGTTTCGAAAGAGTGCATGTAGTAGAGCAGCGCGCTGAAAGATCCTGATATCAGTGATGGTGATGTGCACTAAACTCACGATGGATTTAACTTTGCTAAGCGATTCGTTATCTGCATTTCTGCATCAGATGGTTTTTCGCTTCTGCCTGGAAAACCATGGTGAGAGTGTAAGTGTAAGTGGAATGACGTATGCGTGACAGAACATCGTAAGATGCTGCACTTCCTGTTTCAATTCCTCCTCAAAAGCACAGAAAGAGACAAGATTTAGAATGCTGTAGCAGCCTAATAATAGATAATAACTCTTCACTTGGCGTCTTACTGTGTCATTGTTTCGGCGAGTTTGGCTGCCTCCAACACTTAAACTCAGTGATGACCCGAGTCTGTGGCTGTCGGCGGGGTTCCAGTGACTGACGTCTCATCTACAACCAATCACAAACTCTCCTTCTCCCTACAGCGTCCTTCTTACGCAAGCCCCTCCCCCGAGGCGCCACCCTCCAGGTGACCCGCCCTGTCTCGCATGGCGTAGAACCTCTCAAGAACCCTTTCGTCATCGCCAGTCAGGTCACACGCTCTCTTTCTTCCTCCCACCAAACAACACAGAAAGACCAACAATTCTTCAACTTCACCACTTCAATCGCTTTCTAACTGAGATACTTCACTTTGAACTTGACGAGAGTCTCGACACGCAACAATGTGTTCTGCCGACTTCTTCCTCGCTTTCCTCGCCATTCTCTTCCCCCCACTGCCCGGTAAGTCCACCAACTTCCCCGTCGCGCATCATCGCTAACTGCTATTCAGTCTGGGTAAAGTGCGGTCTTTGCAGCGCTGATTCGCTCATCAACATCCTCCTTTGCTGTCTCGCCTACATCCCCGGCCTTATCCACGCATGGTACATCATCGCAAAGTATCCCGAGCCGCCCTACGAGTACGAGGCCTTGCCTCATGATCGTGAAGGTAACCGCGTTACCTACGTCTACGTTCAATGCCCACCCGGCCCTCACCAGCACGGTCACGGCCATCCTCAAAACCAGCAGCCTACGCCCCAACCCCAGCCTCACCACGGTGGCGCCAGCAACAACAATAACAGCATGAACTATGGCACTCAGAATGCTGGTAGCTCCTCTCGTCCTGCGCCTCAGCAGCATGGCGTGACAAGTAATGGAGAGGGCAGCTCTGATAACCACGGCGTGCCACCTTCCTACGCCGATGTTGTCGCTGGAGATCACAAGATTCAGTCCAAGGACTAAACGCTCGATCATATGTTCCTTTTTATGCGATACGGAAATAAGACATGGTGACGGCTTCATATCCGTCTCCTCCAAATTCGAGCGACTTGGTACCATTTTGCGCAGCCGTCCACATCAACAAGCGGGTCCTGAAGGACTTGGGTGAGATGGCCGAGTTGGTTATGGCGCCAGGTTAAGGTAAACTTTAACAACAGTTTTTTGGTGGAGAAATCCTCCTGGGTTCGAGTCCCAGTCTCATCAACGAGTTTCATTTTTTGCGTCTTTATAAGTTGTTCTTTTTGCTAGAAGTCTCAAGACTTTGGGATTATTGGTTGCTGAATTATGGAGGGAACCGGGTCTCCACGCATGCCCGCGGTATACTTTACTTCACTCTACGTTAATTATATCAGGAGTTTTTGAACGTTGGATTCACGCTGTTCTACTATCATGGAGCTATATGGGTTGCTCATGGACGTTATTGAACCTGTGAAGGTTTATTAGACTTACTGTCATAGGCTTGATTGAGCCTTTCCAAGACTCTGTTTAAGTTTGCTCGATCAGTTTAAAGTTCTCTGAGAACTTGCAGGTAGTTTATAAAGACCTGCTGAAACATTCCTCCTTCTGTCAAATATTGCATATGTGAACGTTTCTGCCCAGTGCTGTTTGTCAGTGAAAATGTCACAGATGAGAGTGAATAGAATGAAGGCTGTTTGTGCATAACCTCCTATACTGGCCTAATCTATGCTATATTTTACACCTAATGTTCCAACCATTTAAACGCCAAATCCACAACCAGACATCTATCATAGTAAGATGTGGCACAATCGCAACAGCCCATGCTTAACGTAGAAGTAAAAAGGTAAATTATCATCATCATAGACGCCATGCGCCAAGCCGCAGCGCAGCGCAGCTGTATTCTACATTGATCCCCTTTCGATCCTTTAGCACATGGGTATCGAGACTCCTCTCCATTTCCGTCTAAGCAAAATGCTTCCATTGCATCCGCCCCCCGTTTTAAGCGGTGCTTGCTTTTATTGTCATGATCATCATCTTGCCTTTTTGTTTCGTGAATTACGCCATCTCTTGAAAGATGTGTAGAAGACTTCGCACACCTGTTAAGGCGTTCTCATCAGGTCCTTGGCCGGGTGTCCATTCGGCGTGGGCAAAGTCAATGAGTTTTAGGGAGTAGATTTGTGGCAGGGAGGCCTCGAGGTCGGAGTCTTCGTCTAGCTCGTCTTCGTCGTCCAGAGCGATGCCACTATCAACCCTCTTGGTAGTTCGAGCTGCTTGACCGATACCCGCCTCTGCGTCGATGAGTGCGTTGTTCTCCTCAATAGCGCTTCGTAAAGCTTGACCGTCGCCCTCGAAGATGAATAGTAGTGAGGAAGAGTACATTCGGCTTTCGTGCCGTGAGAGAACGTCTTCGACCCTTTCTAGATCTCGAACAAATGCTGCGCATACGGCTTTGCCGAGATCCTCATCGATGCCAGCGCTCTTGTTGAAGATGAATTTTCGAAACTCGTCAAAGACATTCTCCTGGGTAACTGTTATTCGACCATAGTCCTTATCGTAGATCTTGTAATTTTCCTCGTCCAGTTCCGAAGCATCCTCTGATCCGCGGTAGACCCGCATTCCCGCTATCCGGAATCCCAAGCTACCGTGTGTTGTCTCAGCCGAAATCTTGTCGAAGCGTTGCTTTTTTTGTTGGGGAGCATCATCGGCCCAGAGTCTAACGCCCAACTTGACATCGAGGATATTGGGTTTCTTGAAGCCAAAGGTGGCATTGTCCAGCACAACCGCCTTGTCGGTCTTTATCTTGTTATCCTTGGCTGGTACCCAAGAACCACCCTCTTTTTGTTGCGTCGCTGTAGCGTGAGCAACTTGTTCAGCCACTGAGGCAACAATCTCTTCTTTTGACGTCATGAGATCTCCAGCATGAGAAATAACACCGGCAACAGCCTCGTCTATCGTTGATTCAGTGGGGTCGGTAAGCAAGAGAGAGCCCATAAACAAGGGCATAATATCGGCGAACTCGGGATGTCTTCGATTGGCAGACTGGTAGAAATCGATCTCGGATTGTGTGCAAGGCTTGATGAATAGTTCGCCGTCGGGGGTGCAAAGCGTGCCAGCACTGCAAGTCATCGAAATTAGCCTATGCAAAGCTCGGGGGTAGCATAGTGACGCAAATATGCTAAGAGCAACAGCAGCGCTCTCAAGGGATGACCAAAGGGCCTGGATGAGGAGCGCATATGCAATGCGAAAAGGATCGAAAGACTTACTGGCCGGCGACAGCGTAGTTGTAATCGCGAAGGTCTTTGCGATCAGGCATTTGTTTTGATCCCATCATGGTCTCTGGGATTGTGAGTGTGGCGGTGGGCTCGCGCCGGTAATCGGTGTAATAGCCGTAACGGGGTGCGTGACAAAAAAGAGAATGAAGGGAATCAATGCTGGGAGAAAAGAAACAATCAACGTCCGGAAGCGACAGGCAAAGGAGGGTATAAGAAGCGCTCAGGGATGATGGCGGTGAGGAGGCCTGTGGAGAGATGCGCAGTTGCTGAAAGGAATTGGAATTTGAAGCTGAAGGCTGGAGCAAGCGATGGGTTCAAGGGCGTGGCTCAGTTCGCAGTAGAGTATGGCGTTGGTAGTGTAGTAGTCGGGGGAGTCAGCTCAGCGCAAGGCGAAGCGGTTAGAACCAGCCAGTGCTTAGGTTGTGAGCGGAGCGCCAAGTGAGGCGAGTTTTGAGTTAAAATAAAATTAAAATAAAAAATAGAAAATGGCCACTGAGGGCTATAGACTGATAAATATAAATGAAAGAAATTCTTGGTCAAGTACGATGAGATATTCCAAGAAATTCAGGGGCGCAAAAGCGAGAATTCAAGGACAAGAAAAAGAACTGATCAGCACCGGATCAACCCCCAGTCTTGACTGTCTTGGTCAAGGTGCGACACGTCAAGGCACAAGGAGACGAGTTTGTTCAGAGGGGTCAGTTCCGTTTTGTCTGTGCTTAAGTTGCAGTGAAATAAAATAAATGGAGAGAACCGAGTGGCAATTTTTGTATGTGATTTTTGTCGTCCCAAGCCCGGTCAGCGTTTGTGGCGGATGTAACGGACCCCGTGGGAAATTGGAGGATGGTGTGAGGCCAACGATGATATTTCTCAGACAACAGCTAGGTTTTGGAGGAATTGTGATGTACGAGATTAATAGTAAATCGATATTAAATGAACATTTCACTGTTTATACAACATTGCTAGTAACCGTGAATTACAAAGAGGGGAAAGATTGTGGCTAGGCAACTCAACGATAACCTCAATGGATAACTCATCAGTCCTAGACCTTACACAGCCAGACAAAGTGGAGGTACCGCGCGTGAATCGCCAAAACATTCCACTCAAAGCGATAGCGAGACAAGCCCCGAATAACGAAGGCGATGACACGAAAAGCCCCCCTCCCCTCGGCGGCAATATTAGTGAATAACGACCAAACAACAGCAAGAAGTGAGCCCTGTCAAGCGCTCTGCCTCGCTGAGCCACAGCCAACGGGAACAGGGGTCCATTCCATTGGCGCTGGGCATACTCTTTGTATTTTGGATCTTCGGTCTTTTCCAAGATTGACAAGGTTTGTCTTACTGTAGAACGTTTGGCTGGTTACACGTCGCAGAGATACTTATCATCAGACCCAAATGGGGAGTATTGATATGCAAGGAACACAGGGTT